GTCTTATTTTTGAGTGAAAACTTGTATTTCTGGGAGAAAATATCATTTTTTTAGAGAAAACTGGTATTTCTGGGAGAAACACGATACTTTCTGGAAAGAAAACTGTTTTTTCTTGGAGGATATTTTGTATTTTTTAGGGAGATATCTGGTATTTCTGGTAGAAAATGTCGTATTTTGGGGAAGAAAACCGGTATTTCTGGGAGAAAATGTCCTATTTTCTGGAGGAAACTGGTATTTCTTGTAGACAATGTCATATTTTTGGGGATGAAAAGTGGTATTTCTGGTAGAAAATGTCAAATTTTGAGGGAGAAATCTGGCATTTCTGGGAGGAAATGTCCCATTTTGGGGTATAAATCTCGTATTTCTATGAGAAAATGTCCCGTTTTGGGGGAATGAACTTGTATTTCTGGGAGAAAATATCCTATTCTTTGGGGGAAAATGTCATATTTCTGGGGAGAAACCTGGAGTTTCTGTGAAAAGATGTCATATTTTCGAGCAGCTGGCAGCTGTGCTGCTCTCAGGCTCATCAAATGGATGCGTGAGATGCAGGGAAGGTCCCAGCACTGTGATGGAGAGCTGATGGCAGACAGGAATCCGTGCCAAACTCGGAATGGCCAAAACCAAGCAGCCGCAAGCGAAACCCAGAGCAGCTCCAGCAATGAAATGAAAAGCTTTCCTGGAGTGGAAGCGACCGTGCCAGGGAGAGGCAAAGTGCCACCCATCGATTGGACCTGGATCCACGCGACTCCTCGGTGCTGCAGCTGGGTCACCTTGCCTGCTGAGGAGGTGCTCCTCTCCAAAGCGAAGCTCCATAGAAGCTCCGGTGCAGGATGTTGCATCCTCCCATTTGATGCCATTTGCAGCTCAGCCTCGGGTTGATTTTCACAGCCACCTCAGCCCTGCCTCTCTGGTTAAGCTGATGTGATGCGTGCGTGTGTGCATGGAGTTCTATTTTAGTGCTGTTCCTGGCAAAATAACTAAATAAATAAATATATAGATGTCTTCTCCCTCCAGGATAGGGAACAGCCGTGGTCCAGGCTGGGTGGGAAGGGATGGATGGGATCAGAGCCCCCTCCCCACTGTCTGCATGTTGGGGATTTGAGGGAGCCTGGCTGGGATGAGTGGAAGATGGAGCTCTGCAGCTCGCCTTGGCTATGCTCGAGCTCCTTCAGTTGGGTTACAGATCCACAGTGCATCGTTTGGGGGTTATTTCCAATGGGAGCTCAGTTCTTTTCCAGCTCCATCCTTCCCTATGCTGCTCCCACTGCGTGCCAGCCTCAGTTCTGTGCCTCCAACCCTTGCTCTGTGATCTGAGAGTCTGTGCTGCTCCAGTGCCAGTCTGGGGACTCTCTCCAACCCTCGCTGTGCCCGTGGCAGACTTCAGCCTCGTGTGCGCCCACATCCTTCCTCATCCTCTGCTTGAAGGACGTCGGGGTCCTGTAGGGCTCTGCTGATGGCTCTGGGGCTGAGCTCCCGGGGCTGAGGCTGGCTCAGCTCACGGCACGTGGGAAAGCGTTGCTTTGTGTCCCCCCACCGCCCCAAAAAGCCGTCGGAGGGCTCTGTGCCGTATCCTGATGGAGGGCCGGGCCTGACCTGTCCAGGCGGAGAAAATCTGATCTGAAGCAATCGAAATTCACCCCTGAGGAGGATGTGACTCAGATCTGCCTGGCTGTGCTTCCATCTGCCCGCGGCCGTAGCGAGAGCAGGGGGAGAAGCTGCCAAAGCGATTCTGAACACCGTGAAACCCCCACCGCGGGGCCGGGACCCACTGCTCACACCCCACAGAACCATCCCAGCACCGGAGCCCCGACCCCGAGGGAGCTCCAGGCACCCGGCAGAGCGTTGCATCCCTTCGGCTCTTCTATAACCAAACGAACCGAGAGCCCCCCCCCCCCCCCCCCCCCCCCCCCCCCCCCCCCCCCCCCCCCCTGTAGCACAGCCCTCCCCATCGCCTCCCTTCTCAGGCTGTCGCAATGGACTCTCCCAGCGCTCGGTGCGTGTGGCGGAGGCTGCAGCGCTGACGCCGGGCTGGTACCCGCGGGCTGCTCCTGCTGGATCCCCACGAGCATCCTTCCTCCTCGGAGCATCCTTCCTTCTCACAGCCAGTGCTGGAGCAGACCACGCGCTGACACAGGTAAGGAGAGGAGGATGCCTCTATAAAGCGTTTCCCCCCCTCCCCCCCTCCCCCTCCTCCCATCTGCTTTTAATTAGCATCCTCGGGGTTGCTAGCTGACGGGGAGTTCTCCTTCTCCTTCCCATCGCTGTGGCCATTTTGTCCTGAAAATCCTTGCCTCCGCTTCACTCTGCTTTTTCTCTGCGTGGTCGGGAGCCCCTCGTTACCGCTCAGCGCTGCGCACCGCAGGGATTGCATTATGGGGATGGATAACGACCCCAGCGGGTTTTGGGGAGGGGGAGTGCCACAGCTCCCCGGGGTGGGGGCTGGGGGTGACCTTGGGCACTGGGGAGTGCCAACTCTTCCCCCCGTCGCCATGTTCGTGGTGTTCTGTGAAAGGGGGTTGCAGGGGGACCCTAATATGGGAACCCCCCGGGAGGGGGGTTGGGGCATGCAGCGATGTGGGGCCGCACTGATCGGGTGTTTAGAGGGAGGAAAGGGGTCTGGATCCCATAACCTTGTGCAGGGCCAGCGGTGGTGGCCAGGGCTGACATCAGGGATGGGGTGGCTGAGCCTTTATGCAGCCAGGAGAGCATTTTTAGGAAACCCCCATCTCCACACCCCATCTTGCCAGGCTGTGATCTGTGCCATTTCTGCCTTCCTTGGGAAAGCAGAACCCTCATCCTAAAAGGATCTGCCGTTGCTGTGTGGCGACCCGATGCTGTGCGGCCCCCAGCTGTGACCTGCAGGTGCTTATACCCCCCCCACAACCTCCATGCTCCCCCCTCCCTTTGCCGGATCCCTATTGCCAAAATGCGTCACAGCCCCGTGGAAGCGGCCCCGCACCAGATGACCTTGGTGGTGGTGATGAAGGCCGCAGACCGGCTCCTTCCAAGGCTGCTGGGATTCCACCCGAGGAGGGCAGCGGGTGATGAGGATTTGATGCCCGGGGATGGAAGTTGGAGGAGGGGGAGGGGATTGGGATTGCGGGGGGTGGGGAGGGTTGGTGTTGTGCCGCAGCGCCAGCACCGCACTGTCCCAGGGTGTCTGCGCAGAGCCGGCGTGGGTTGGGTGCCCGCCCCGGGGGGAGAGCTGCCGCCAGCCCCGGATATTTTGGAAAGGCCAAATATAGCTCTACGCTGCGCCCCAGCCCTGCTCTTACAGGGGGGAGTCGGGGGGGGAGACACGCTGTGACGGCTGCGTCCTCCCTGCGGCACAACTCCTGAGTCGCGGCCACTGCTGCCTGGCGGGTTCGTGCTGCCAGAAGTAAAAATAGCCCGTTTGGGGGGGGGGGGGGGGGGGGGGGGGGGGGGGGGGGGGGGGGGGGGGGGGTTCATGCTGGGTCAGCGGTGCCCATTCCCGCTGGGGGCTGTGGGTCTGTCCCTGGCACGCATTGTGCCGTGCTTGGCAAGGGGCAATGTGGGGTGATGCCCACGGCCTGGTGGGGCTGGGGGATTGGACACCCCAGGATGGGGGCCTTTGGGGTGTATCCGGACCCCCCTTTCCTCCCAAAAGTCAGATGCAGTGGTGGTCAGAGTGTGCCCGGCTCTGCCTCAGGCTCTCAGCTTTGGCCAGGGGCTCTGATGGAACGCACCTGCAGCCAGCCTTTTTCTGGAAGCCTCCCTGGGGTGGGCACGCGAGGTCCCCATGCCTGCTCTGCACCCACTGCCACCTCTGGGCAGCTGGGTTGGTGCTGGGCGAGCCTGCATACCACCCTAAGGGTCCCCCAACACAAACCTCACTTCACACCTTGCCTGTGGATGGCTACCAGAGCCATCCTGGAGCCATCCTGCTGCCCCGGGAGGTTTGGGGACCCCCATATCCCTGCGGCCTGCTTCCCTCACCGTCCCTCTGAGGCAAGGTGACAGCGTCGCTCAGTTCCCAAAGCACTGTCGCTTTCTGGGGGCCTCCTGCTGTCCCACTTCTTGGTGGTGACCCCACAGCGTCTTCCAGCTTCTTTATCCTCTGTCCCTCATGGCGCTGACCCACAGGGCCGCCTGTCCCCAGGCCCTCGCTGTCACCGGCGTCCTGCCAGCCTGAGGGATGCTGCGTGCCGTGCTGGGGTCAGCATCCCCCCCGGGGTCTCGTCCCAGCGCTGGGACCCCCCCACCCACCCTGCGCGGAGGTGGTGGGAGCAGAGGGCGGGCTCCCGCGTGGCCACACCCTCCGAAGCTCATTGGCTGAACGGCGGGGCCGTGCCCCTCCAGCCCCATTGATGCAAGTGGGTTGGCCACGCCCCCTGCAGCTCATTGGTTCGTGGCCCAGCCTCGTATTCCCAGCCCCATTGAGAGGGCGGTGGGGCTTTTTTTTTTTCAATGGGCTGGGCGGCCTGGTAGGGGGCTGCGGTGGGGACAGGGTCGTCCTCGCGGGCTGGGGGCCTTGGCTTGTCGGTGGGGGGCTGTGGGTCCGTGCTGGGGATCCTCCATCCCCATGAGACTCTGGGGTCGCAGACAAGGCTGAGATGTGGCCCCCCCTGACATCCTGCTGGGATGGAGGTGCCCCACCATGCGGGCTTTGCTTCTCCGAATGGAGGGGATGTGGGGAGGGCTCTGGAGCTGCTGTGTCCCTCCATACCCAACCTTTTCAAGTCCCAGTTCCTATGTGCCTCCATGGGATATCTTCTCCCGTTTCCCATATCCGATGTGTCCCTCAAGATCCTATCTGCTCACGTTCCCCACACCTGTGGGTGCCTGACCCTACACTGGGTTCTTGCTATGCCCATGTCCCTGCAGCCTTGCTGCGGGGCAGAGGTGCCCCCAAATCCTCCAGTTTCCATCCAAATGCTGCACACCGAGCCCCACGCTGGATGTGCAGACCCCGGGGTGAGGTGGGACACGAGGACATCCCCACCTTAACACGGGCACTGTTGTGTCTGGGTCCCCAGGTGTGGGCCACGCGGATGGGTAGCACTGCTGCCCGGCCCTCCGCATCCAACCGCGGCCCCTGGGCGTGAGGGCTCAGTCCCGACTCAGAGACCCCCCCCAAAGCCCCACGCCGCCGTCCCATCCCAACGTCACCATGGATGAGAGCTTCCGAGACCGGACGGCTTTCATCCGCGGCGCCAAAGACATCGCCAAGGAGGTGAAGAAGCACGCGGCCAAGAAGGTGAGCAAGGGCATGGACCGCGTGCAGGACGAGTACACCAAGCGCTCCTACAGCCGCTTCGAGGAGGAGGACGACGACGAGGACTACGCGCCGCAGGACGGCTACTACCGGGGTGGTGAGGGGGCGGCCGAGGAGGAGGGGGCTTCCAGCGATGCCACCGAAGGGCACGACGAGGAGGATGAGATCTACGAGGGCGAGTACCAGGGCATCCCGAGGCAGGACTCGCTGAAGGGCGGCGAGAGGCTGGGGGGCGAGGTGACCCCCGGGGCCTTCGATGACAGCGAGGGGCAGCGGCGCAAGGACAAGGAGGAGCTGGCGCAGCAGTATGAGCTCATCCTGCAGGAGTGCGGCCACGGGCGCTTCCAATGGAGCCTCTACTTCGTGCTGGGACTGGCGCTGATGGCCGACGGCGTGGAGGTGTTCGTGGTGGGCTTCGTGCTGCCCAGCGCCGAGAAGGACATGTGCCTCTCCGACTCCAACAAGGGCATGCTGGGTGAGTCGGGAGAGGGGATGGGCTGGGGTGGGTGTGGGGAGGTGGGCTGAGGTTTGCAGGGGATACCTCAAGTATCAGAAGCAGGTGGGGTATGGAGGGACACGTGGGATGTAGGGGGCGGGGGAAGTAACAGTGTGGAGGGACACAGGTGTGGGGACGTGGGAAGATGGAGAAGGGGGGACACGCGGGATATGGGGGACAGGAGCAGGCAGAGCGTGGGGACGTGAGAAGATATGGAAGGACTTGTGAGATATGGGGACATGGACAAGTGGGGAGTGCAGGGATACTGCTATGGGGGATGTGAACAGAAGGGATATGGAGAGACCCCAGAAGGACGCGTGGGATATGGGGGACAGGAGAAGGCGTGGTGTGTTAGGAACAGGTGTGAGGATGTGGGTTGGTGGGGTATGGAGGGGTACATCTATGGGGACAGGAGCAGGTAGGGCAATATTGAGGGACACAGGTGAGGGGAGCATATAGGGAATGGGGACGTGAGAAGATAAGATATGGAGGGACATATGGGATATGGGGAACAGGAGCTGGTAGGGTGTGGAGGGACTCAGGTGTGGGGGCATGTGAGGAAACTGGGGGGAGATGGAAGGACATGAGGATAGGAGGGGACATGAGCAGACAGGGGACATTGTGGGACATGGCATATGGGGGACACAGGAGTGTATGTGCAGACGGGAGCACAGAGGGGCACAAGGCTGTGGGGCACACAGGTAGGTGCACGCAGATGGAGCTGTGGGAGTGGGTGGGGGTGTAGAGGGGCATGGGATGGGGGGGGGAACATCACCACATGGGGGAACATGAGAAGCTATGGGGGAATATAAGGATGTGGGGGGCACAGATGGAGGGGAGCACCAGAAGGGAACCAGGAATCCTCCCCCCCTCCCTGGACCCCTCCCTGTGGGTTGTGGGGGTCTCAGTGCAGCAGCTGATGGGCTGAGCACCGCAGCACAACTCCGCAGTGCCTCGTGCCCCCCTCCGGCCCTGCAGCCCCTGGCTTATCTCTGTGCTGCAGCCCAACTGCTGCCCGCTGCTGATAAGGGGATGCTGCGAGCGGCTCTGGGGGGGGGGGGAGTGCTGCAGGGACTGCAATTGGCTGCACTGCAGTGCGCTCCCCCCTTCTGTGGGGTGCCCCACCCCCATCCCAAATTTGAATCCATTGCACCCCAAGACCTGGCAAATCAGTGCAGGCGTGGGGATGGATGTGGACAGCTGGGGGGGCTCTGGGCTGGCACCCCAGGAGTCCTCTGGATCTGGGGGATCCCTCAGCCCCCCATCCCCCATAGCATCACCGATGTGGTACTGGGGGACCCCTCAGCCCCCCATCCCCCATAGCATCACCAATGTGGTACTGGGGGACTCCTCATTCCCCTCCATCTTACATGGCATCATTGATGTGTTATGGGAGACCTCTTAGCCCCCCATCCCACATAGCATCATCAGTGTGGTACTGAGGGACCCCTCAGCCCCGATCCGCCAGAGCATCACTGGTGTGGTACTGGGGGACTCCTCATTCCCCTCCATTTATATGGCATCTCTGATGTGATATGGGGGACCCCTCCACCCCCTCCATCCCCCATAGCATCACCGATGTGGTACTGGGGTACCCCTCAGCCCCCCATCCCCTATAACATTGTCAATGTGGTACTGGGGGACCCTTCAGCCCCCATCCCCCATAGCATCACCAATGTGGTACTGGGGGATTCTTCACTCCCCTCCATCTTACATGGCATCACTGATGTGTTATGGGGGACCCCTCAGCTTCCCATCCGCCATAGCATCTCCAATGTGGTATCGAGGGACCCCTCAGCCCCCCATCCCCCATAGAATCACCAATGTGGTACTGAGGGGCTCCTCATTCCCCTCCATCTTACATGGCATCACTGATGTGGTACTGGGGGGACCCCACATCCCCATCCACCATAGCATCACCTGTGTTGTACTGGGGGATCCGTCCACCCCATGTCATACAAAGCATCACCAATGTGGTACTGGGGACCCTTCAGGCCCCCATCCCCCATAGCATCACCAATGTGGTACTGGGGTACTCCTCATTCCCCTCCCATCTTACATGGCATCACCAATGTGGTATTGGGGGACCCCTCCACCCTCTCCATCCCCCATAGCATCACTGATGTGGTACTGGGGGACCCCACAGTCCCCCATCCCCCATAGCATCACCAATGTGGTACTGGGGGACTCCTCATTCCCCACCGTTTTACATGGCATCACAGATGTGATATGGGGGATCCCTCAGCTCCCCATCCCCCATAGCATCACCAATGTCATACTGGGGGGCTCCTCATTCCCCTCCATCCTATTTGGCATCACTGGTGTGATATGGGGGATCCTTCAGCTCCCCATCCCCCATAGCATCACCAATATGGTATTGGGGGACCCCTCCAACCCCCCAACCCCCATAGCGTCACCAATGTGGTGTTGGGGGACCCCGCAGCCCCCCATCCACCATAGCATCACCTGTGTGGTACTGGGAGATCCCTCCACCCCATATCACCCAAAGCAACACCTATGTGATACTGGGGGACTCCTCATTCCCCTCCATCTTATATGGCATCACTGATGTGTTATGGGGGATCCCTTCACCCCCTCCATCCCCCATAGCATCACCAATGTGGTACTGAGGGACTCCTCATTCCCCTCCATCTTACATGGCATCACTGATGTGATATGGGGGACCCCTCAGCCCCCCATCCCATATAGCATCACCAATGTGGTACTGAGGGACTCCTCATTCCCCTCCATCTTACATGGCATCACTGATGTCTTATGGGGGACCCCTCAGCCTCC